TTTTTTTTCAGTTAATAATAAAATAAAAATGTTTATTCTAAAACAGTGTAACAACAGAACAATTTACTGTTACAATCAAATATATGCATTTATAAAACATAGACAGTTAAAGTATCAAAATAAGTTTACTTACAGTAAATTATTCCTAAATTTATGCCTAAAACTATAGTAAATAAAAGTAAAACTCACTTATAATTGTTTACATCGACAACCATATTGTTTGTTAGTGTATTTTGTACCGTTAGGGTTTCGGCTATCGAGTCGACTCGAGCGGTAACGAGATTTGAGTTTTGTTATCCAAAGCCAGATTTACATTATAAAAATAATTGAATAAAGTCATATTATTTAATATTACGATAGATAAATAAAAAAAATGTGAAACTATCACTTTTGGCATGCTACTAACACATTTTTATTGAGATATTTTATTATTCTGTTTACTTTATATTTTAAATATAATTGTGTTTATTGTACGCCAGTTTCGTTGCTTTCGAGCTGTATGACATAAACCCTACTCCTAATTTCTAATCCGACATCGGTGGAAAAAACGGTCTGTGCGCATGACAATTTGGTCACAAAACTGTCTATTTCAAGAGTTTTACGTCACGTTTTTCACGGGCGTACTACTATAAGTTATATTATTTTTTATTAATAACGTGGTATTTTAATAAATATTATTATTGGAACATTTACTAATTAAAAATCATTTTTAAGTTATTTTCTTAAATTAAAAGGTGTTGTAGTTGAATGTACTAAGCAGTGGCGGCTGGTGGGGCGGTTCACAGTGACAGAATATAGGTAACACTACAGATGTATGAAAAAACTCTCAGTGTTTTAGAAAGTTTGTAATATACCTTTCTAAAACACTGACAGTTTTTTACCTATATCTGTACCGGGATCTATATTCTGCTTCTGTGAACTCCCAAAATTTTGGCCACGAGCCGCCCCTGGTACTAATTGTTAAATTTAATTATGATGTTCCTTTTTAGTGCATTTCGATACGCACCTGTGGGCGCCAGCGTTTCAAATATCACCTCGCTATATGGCATGATTTTGTTGATCGACTTTGCTCTTTTAGTTTATACAGTGCGTCCATAAAGTAACGCATAAATTCATTATTAGCTAAATAAACAATAATATTAGAAATTCCCGCAACAGGTTAATTTTTTATTTTAATTTACTACTTTTTTAAATTATAATCTAATATACAGAGTGAATAACCACCTTCGCGTGATGATGTCATCACCATTTCTTTTTAATAGCACCCCTATTTTTCAATTTCAGGATTTTCCATGCTGAGCTGATTCTAAAAATATGTAACACGTTGCTTATTTAAAATAATCGATAATTCCGTTTTTTTAAAAATCAATTTATTAGTAAATTGACTTTTTAATTAATCGATTATTTTCGATTTTTTAAAAATTATCGAATAATCTGTTTCAATGGACGAAAAATAAATGAAATATTTGAAAATAATTGATTATTTAAAATAAACGATAACTCTTCTATTATTTTTTGTAAACACTGATTTATCGGTTAATTGGCTTTTTAATAATCGATTATTTTCGATTTGAAAAAAAAGTATTATTAGAAAATATTCGATAATTCAATTTATTTTGAAAAATCGATTTATCGGAGAATCGGCTTCTTAATTAATTGGTCATTTTCGATTAGGCGATTATTTTGGAATAATCGATTATTTTCGGTATTTCAAAGATAATCCAATTATCAATTTTTAAAGGAAATACAATAAAAATAGATAATTGATAATAATCGATTAATCGAAAATATTCGATTATTTAAAATAAATCGATTTATCAGTTAATCGACTGTTTAATTAATTGATTATTTATTTTCGATTTTTCAAAAATTATCGAATAATTTGTTTCAATGGACTAAAAATGAATAGAATATTTAAAAATAATCTATTATTTAAAATAAACGATAACTCTTCTATTATTTTTTGTAAACACTGATTTATCGGTTAATTGGCTTTTTAATAATCGATTATTTTTGATTTATCCATTGTTTTCGATTTTTTAAAGATAATCGAACAATTAATTTTAAAGGAAATATGAAAAAATAAAGTATTATTAGAAAATATTCGATAATTCAGTTTATTTTGTAAAATCGATTTATCGTAGAATCGGCTTCTTAATTAATTGGTTATTTTCGATTAGGCGATTATTTTGGAATAATTGATTATTTTAGGTATTTCAAAGATAATCCAATTATCGATTTTTAAAGGAAATACAATAAAAATAAATTATTGATAATAATCGATTGATCGAAAATAATCGATTATTTAAAATAATCGATAATTCTGTTTTTTTTTTTAAATCAATTTATCAGTTAATCGACTTTTTAATTAATCGATTATTTTCGATTTTTCAAAAATTATCGAAAAATCTGTTTCAATGGACGAAAAATAAATGGAATATTTGAATATAATCGAATATTTAAAATAAACGATAACTCTTCAATTATTTTTTGTAAACACTGATTTATCGGTTAATTGGCTTTTTAATAATCGATTATTTTCGATTTTTCAAAGATGATCGAATAATCAATTTTAATGAAAATATGAAAAAAAGTATTATTACAAAATATTCGATAATTCAGTTTATTTTGAAAAATCGATTTATCGTAGAATCAGCTTCTTAATTATTTGGTTATTTTCGATTAGGCGATTATTTTAGAATAATCGATTATTTTTGTTATTTCAAAGCTAATCGAATTATCGATTTTTAAAGGAAATACAATAAAAATAGATTATTGATAATAAACGATGGATCGAAAATAATCGATTATTTAAAATAATCGATAATTCGGTTTTTTTTTTTGAAAATCGATTTATCAGATAATCGAATTTTTAATTAATCGATTATTTTCGATTTTTCCAAAATTATCGAATAATCTGTTTCAATGGACGAAAAAATGGAATATTTGAAAATAATCGATTATTTAAAATAAACGATAACTCTTCTATTATTTTTTGTAAACACTGATTTATCGGTTAATTGGCTTTTTAATAATCGATTATTTTCGATTTTTCAAAGATATTTGAGAATAATCAATTTTAATGGAAATATGGAAAAAAAATTATTATTAGAAAATATTCGATAATTCAGTTTATTTTGAAAAATCGATTTATCGTAGAATCGGCTTCTTAATTAATTGGTTATTTTCGATTAGGCGATTATTTTGGAATAATCGATTATTTTAGGTATTTCAATGCTAATCCAATTATCGATTTTTAAAGGAAATACGATAAAACCAAATTATTGATAATCGATTGATCGAAAATAATCGATTATTTAAAATAATAGATAATTCTGTTTTTTTTTTAAATTTGATTTATCAGTTAATCGGCTTTTTAATTAATCGATTATTTTCGATTTTTCAAAAATTATCGAACAATCTGTTTCAATGGACGAAAAAAATGGAATATTTAAAAATAATCGATTATTTAAAATAAACGATAACTCTTTTATTATTTTTTGTAAACACTGATTTATCGGTTAATTGGCTTTTTATTTAATTGATTATTTTTTATTTTTCAAAAATAATCAAGTAGTCTATTTTAAAGGAAATACGTCAAAAAAATAGATTGTTTGAAAATAATCGATTGGTCGAAAGTAATCAATTATTTTCACTGATCAATAATTTATTTCGATAATCACCCACCCCTAGCGAGCAAATAACTTTCAATAGGTTAAAATTTTAAAATTTTATCTGGTTAATTATTATTCCTTAAGAAAGAAGCCTTAATATACCTTTTACTGAGGTTACAAAACAGCATTTTCTTATTTTGACTAATTTTTAATATTATGTAATAGCCGTAGAAAAAATATAATGTTCAACTCAGAAAGTTTGAGTACCATTTCTTGCTCTATTAACAATATTTTATTTCAACATTTTACTGTAGTCTCTTGCAGAAAAGTCCGTAGTAAATAAACGCTAACGAAATATTCTATAAAAGGTCTTTTCTTTACATAAAATGTCTTTTCTTTACATAAAATGTCATGGCATCTGTTTGATATTAAAAATTCACGTTAATTTTATTTCATAATACAAAATTCCAATAAACATATTTTAAATAAATCAATAGTTCATTATGATGCTAATAAACAAAGTCTGGTCCCTGTCACAGAGTTCGGGTCGCCGCCCAGTTCCCCACTCCGTTAACCTTTCTTCAAAAATTGGCAACATTTGTGCAGGTTAAACACCGGTGTATGTTATATCTCTGGTCTCTTTTATCTAAGTTCAGTATTAAAATATTGAATTAATTTAAAAACTTCTTCAGAGTCTCTCATTAAGAATGGGACACAGAACAATTGAAGTTTCTCTGATTAAAAATAAGAAGATTACTGGTTATTAAAATACAGGGAGTTTAAGTTGAAAATTCAAAAAATTTTAATGGCTTCATTTTTTTTTATTCGTCAGTTTAATTTTACTAAATTTGGTAAACATTTTTTTAGTGTCATAAGCAAAACAATCAGTTGAATAAACTTTGCCAGTTACGTACGGCATGGAAAATTAAGAATTTCACCCCCTCTAAATTTTACGCCACTGCCCAAAAACTTATTTGGACTATTTTTTTTTAATTTGTTGATGTTTTATAAATAAATCATTTGCATATGTTGGGAACTAATGAAGTGATTGGTTTTCGAGATATTCATACTCAAAGATGGAAATTCCTCATTTTAATTAATGTTTGAATTTTTTGAATTTTTAATTTTTTTATAAAATTGTAGTGAGCAAACGGTTTTGATGTCATAAGATATAAAAACACCAAAAAATTAGTTAAATAAACTTTGCCAATGGCTTTAACACTCTATATTCTGGCAACTAGTAATTTTTTATTTGAGCATATTCTGTTCGCCCTATGTTTTTTAATAAGAGTTGGTACATGAAAAATCGGACTGTAATTGGAAGAAATAACTTTACAAGCACTTTATCAGACACAAAAATTAAAATAACTCTTCTTATATTTTCAGAACGGTTCCTCAGACATGACCACCTCGAAAAAACCGTCCAGATCCAAAACAGGCGCTTTAGATTCATCTAAGAACCAATCAGAAAAACCGGAAGAGGTAGTAGAACAATCGGCTGTCAAAATCCAAGCAGGCATCAGAGGTTTCTTAGTCAGAAGACGACAAAAGAAAAACGGCAGCAAGCAAGCATGATACCACGTGTCTTACATCAATTAAAAATATTCCTATAACGCACACAAGCAGTGTGTCCGAATTAAGAACAATATACATAGAAGCGTAGAAGTAGCGCAATTATGCTAGATGTA